ATATATATATATATATATTAAATACTAATAATAATTAAATATAATATATTTTTAAAATTGATTTGATGTTTTGTGAATTTTAAACTCATCCCAATTCCCAACACATTCAACACCCCCCCCCCCCTATAAGGGGTGCCATTAGCACCCCCCATAGCAAATCTTAACCATCATTTTTATGTTAACCTTATTAACCGATTTTTATGTTAACCTTATTAACCGATCTTGTGTGCATCAAATTTTGTTATTAAGTTACACAAGGGTGCATATAGCTGAATTTCTGTTCATATCGTGTTCACGATTGTTAATCACATATAAGTTGTGATAGTGATGTAATATTGTGCTACATACTACACATTTAAGATGAATTGTAACCGTCGTATAGGTTTTTATTTATATTTTATAGGTTTTACTTTATAACACTAGTTAAATGATGCATTCATTTATGTGTATATTTCTTTGATATTACATTCATATTCCGTTTGGGCGATGTTCATGTCGGGTTACATATGTTCATATGTTTCACACTATGTTCATGTACATACCACCTGTACGTGCACGACAATTTATGTTATTAAGTTACACAAGGGGTTCATATAACACGTGATGTGTTTGTTTAGGTTTTAATTTATAACACTAGCTAAATGATGCATTCACTTATGTGTACATTTCTTTGATATTACATTCATAATCCTTTTGATTACGTATATATATTATGTCAGGCTCATTATGTGTTCATGTTTGGTCCAAAATGCACATATAGGACAAAACCTGGTTTCTTATTCAAGACAAGGGTGCATACATGTTTCACTGATATGGTAATTGTAACAACTGTTCATGGCGTTTTGGGGGTTGTTCATATGGTTGTACATGTGTTTATTTTCGTCAATATGTGTTAATCTTGGTAGACAATTGTTAATAAGTTGTGTCAATGTGTGTTGATATAAAGACAGATGTGTTTGTAAGGTTGTCCGAAGGTTCACATTGCTGAATTTTTGTTCATATCGTGTTCACGAGTGTTACTCACATATAAGTTGTCTTAGTGATGTAATATTGTGCTAAGTAATACAATTATAAGATGAATTGTAAATGTTGTATAAGTTTTAATTTGTAAAACTAGCGAAATGATGCATTCAATTAAGTGTACATTTCTTTGATATTACATTCATTATCAGTTTGATTACGTATATATATATTGTGTCAGGCTCAATATGTCTTCATATTTGCGAAAAAAATGCACATATAGGACAAAACCCGAGTTCGTATTCGAGACAAGGGTGAATACATGTTACATTATATTGTTGGGTTGTTCATGTGTGGGTGTACATGTGTTCATCTGTCTTATGCGTTGTTCATATCGGTGGACATATGTTCATCTTCGTCAATACGTGTTCATACGGTCAAATGTCTTCATCATCGTAACATGTTCATATGTGTCGCACTATGTTCATGTACATACCACCTGTACATGTGTGTCAATTTATGTAATTAAGATAGACAAGTGGTCACATAGCTATAATTTTGTTCCTAAATTAAAGAAGGAAATATACAACACGAGATGTGATTGTACGGTTGTCTGAATGTTCACATATACGAATGTGTGTTCATATGTGTTCACAATAAATTTTATTACTATGAACAAATCAAACTAAATTTTATAACCTATAGCTGCCATTTATAAAATTCTGTAAATTGATTTTGATTTTATGAACACACAAACGATTGCCAAATGTTGTTTTTGTCCCCTTTTCACTTTTTTTTAAATGTAAACACAAAAAAAGAAACAAAACTATTCCCAAACGATGCCTAAAATTGTTGATTGATCTTAACAAATTGAACAAGTTTACATCACTAGGTAACAAAAATGTTGTCACTCTAATTTTACATATTAATCTGATTTATATGATTGAGTTTATCGTAATTTTATAAGTTTTGGCTAGTGGTGCATGGAAAAATCACTTTTCTCATATAGATAAATACAACACAAAAAAGTAGATAACATGAGTGCATACATTCTATAGCATTCAGGTACTCCTTTGATAGAGGAGATCCTCCCCCCTCAAAGATCAAGGGAACAATCATCAAATGAGAAACCAAAAAAAAAATGTATAGCATTCAGGTACTCCTTTGATAGAGGAGATCAATCTTTTACAACGAGACATCCATTACATACATGTAGTTGGATGATGAACACATGATCTATAGAGCATATTCTATCAAGAAAATTTGATCTTAAGATAGTTTCCTCTAAAGTATATAACATGAGTGTATACATCCATATATGCTGCAGTCTAAAAAGAATTTTGAAGATGTGATCTAATTCCACAGACTCGCAGTTCCTAGACACTAGTAAGTACTTTTAGCTAGATTCAACTATAGTATTACCAAACCATTGGTTACGATTAGATTTGTCACTTATGTCCATCCATAGCTTTGTTGGTGCACAAAGAGTGTCCACTATACTGGGACACTCTTATCAATGGTGCTAAAATGTAGAACATCTACTCTCATTAAAAGAATAACATATATAAGCCAAAAGATGTTGGTATGAACATGAAAGATCATTTTTTGTAGGACAGTACATGTCCTTTCACAATTCACAGCCTTCCTATGTTGTATTCTTCTCTTCATATCTTCCTTGTTGCAAATAGATATTCTATTATACATTCTCTCCAGATAACTCTTTTTTGTTATATTGACAAACTGCGATCCACCATCCTCTTAAGGTGACTCATATCTGTCTCTAAATCTTCTCACTGAAGTCACTAAACTTTATTGACGAAGCTTGACTGTTATTTCCCTTTAAGTCAGTGAAACACATACATTTA